CTTCCGCTTCGTGTCCGGTCTTGTCCCCTGAGGCAAGCGCTCCCGCTGTGCCCTCTCCGTGCCGGGCCTTGAGTCCGCCCTTGAGCAAGGCACGGCAGCTTCGGCGTAAATAGCGAGTGTGCTGCTGGGGTTCCGCTTGCTCGGAAGAAGCTTAAGGCGGCCACCTTGTCAGGTGGGAGAGAGGCACCTGATGGCTGGGCGAGTGTGAATTCGGGGGTTGTTAAAGTGCTGCAAGATGCTGTGAAAGCAGTTACCTGGGAAACAGATGTGGTTTCGTTATTTTAAAGCCTGGTAAAAGACGTGACAAGAATAGAAAAAGGTAGAGTGCAATAGCCCACCTTAATGCAGAGAATCACAGAGTAACACAGTAAATTAAAATGTGGAGCCTCTAGCACTCGTGAGAATTGGAAATGGGGGCAACCACTTTCTTGTCATGTTTACTCCAACGTGGTTTTTCTGCTTCATTCATTTGTTAAAAGATTCTTCTAATTGTCCTTATAGTTGGAATGTGCCTTTCATATTTTTAAGCGTGCAGGGGAAGAGTTTAATTTTTTCCTTTTTTTAAAAAAGGATTGAATATAAATGCGTTCTGTGGGAATGTTACTTGTCTTCCCTTTAACCTGCTTAAAGAAGTGACTTTCAAAAGAGATTTTACAGGTATTAAAAATAACAAAAAATTGCCATGCTAACTTGTCTAATGAATGAGATCCACGTGGGAAATGTGCTTAGCGACAACAGCAACAAATAGGGAAAAAGTAATGCTACTACAGTGCTCTTCCTTTTCAGTTTAGAGGGTGAAGAAACAGGTTTTCCTCTACAAATGCTATTGGTTTTGTATGTATGATACGTTTCAAATCTAATCCTTGTTAGAAGTTGTCTAAATTGAGGTTTTCTTGTGGTTATGGAGTTCAGTGTATTGGCAGTGCCATTGGCATGTTTTGGCAGAAGTTGTTGTAAGAAAATCTTAATTGAAATCAATATATCCTACTTATATGGCTGCATATCTACTGGTGAGCATACTGTGATTCATCTTTAATCAGAAAAATGTCATTAGAGCTCATTATGTAGGTGTAAACTGAAGTCTGTTTCCTTGGGTAGTTAAAACAAATTGTAAAAACATTCTTAAAGTTAATTTTGCAATTTAATATTTAAAATTCATCCTAGCATTTTATTTCATTGTAGGTAATTTAAGTGATTTTCTAGCATGGACACTGTTGCTAGCCATAGTTGTCATCTTCTCCAGCAGCTACATGAACAGCGCATTCAGGGTCTTCTCTGTGACTGCATGCTGGTGGTGAAAGGTGTCTGCTTCAAAGCTCACAAAAATGTATTAGCTGCTTTCAGTCAATATTTCAGGTATGTGATAGAAAATTCTTCTTTTCAAAAAGTGAACTAAATACTCTTGGGTGAGGTTTTCTCTGAGAAGAGGGTTTTTTTTTTTGTGATAGTTGCAGTCTAAGTAGCTGTTGGAATATAAGGCGAAAGGTTAAATTTTTTTTGTCCAGAGCTACATCTGTATGAAGTATTTAATCTAATTAAAAGCTGTGGCCATCATAATTTATTTTCTCAGCATATGTAGCTAACTACTGAGCTGGTTTAGTTTGTTATTTTCCTGATCCTTATGGTGCCTCATATAATGGATTCTGGCATGGACCTGCAATTGATATTTCAGTATGAAAAAACCAACTGTTTACAAGGAGCAGAGTAGAGTACATGAACAGAGCCAGATAGGGGATATAATTGATGGAACAATTCATATTATCTGTTTCTGGATAGTGTGAATTGTTTCATTAGTTATATATTCAGAATAAAATTTGAGTATATAGGTTATTATTGAATCTCTATTTAGACTAGATTCTCAGAGACAACATCTGTGTTTTAAAGGTGGGCCATGAAGCCACGTTACTCATTTCTTTCCCCTCTGTACAGCCCTCATTGATCCTCCAAATTTTGGGGGATGCTGGATCCCCGAACTTAGTGTTTTATGTTAGCTATGAGTAATCTATTAGATGTGTCAGGTTTTAGACACTATTTCTTGAAACATCTCTAAAGCTTGACTACCAATTCTTCCATAAGAAAATTATTTCCATGTTATGACCAAGGAAAAAAGGCTGGTTTTCCTTTTTCTCTTCTAGTGTTGTAATCCTGATGATGAAGTGAAATTATGCTTAAAGACTGAATTTTTAAAGTAGTTAAAAAGAACTAAGCCTGCCATTATTACGGAAATTCAATAGGATGTAAGTGATTAATTAATTTAAACTCTTGACCCAGATCATGATCCCAGTTCATTATAGTTCTGGTTTTATTTAAACAGTCTGGGCTGGATTTATGAAAGAATTTGGTTGTGGGCACTGGCTTCAGAGTAACCTCTGCATTTCTAAAATTTAAGGTTAGTTTAAGCCTGTAAGTTGAAGCCTCTTATTTCCTTAAGATTCAGAGCTCATGATACTATGCCCACCTTTAACCAAAACCTAATTTGAGAGTAATCATCAGGTTCAGGGCATTTCCTAGTGTAGGAAGATGGCTACATAGGAGTGACCTGACCCCATATATTTACATATGTCATTATTTACTGTGAGAGTGTCAGGTTGGAGATGGGATTTTAATAGAAGGGTGTGAAGTTCCTGACTGAGGCAGAGGACGAACTACTTAATCTAAGACTGGTTGTGCATGTGAAGAACTGCAACTCTGATGTTAAGAATGCTTTACAGCAAATAGTGAAAAGTCTTGTGAATTCAGACACTTTAAGGATCCAATGACAATTCTGTGGGTTTTGGTTGGATGGCTGTTTTAGGCTTATGTACCTGTACTTTTTATTATTCTTTTACTCATTGAGTACCAATAAAAAAGTATGTTCTTTGGATGTGAAAGAACAGACTGAAAATAATGCCATTCTTTTACTTACTATTATTATCCTCTCTTCTTCTTCTGGGGAAAGAATTAGTAATAAGAAGTTTAATAAGATTTACTGATAAAGTCTGGTGGATAAGCTCAGTTGCCAGAAGAGAACAGTTTAGCTAACTTTAAGGTCTGTCTTCTCCTTTTCACTAGAAAGTTTCTCATGTCCCGTTTTATTTGCCACGATGGAAGGAGAAACACCACATATAAAAGTCATTGAGCAGTTTTGAGACGTTCATCTGCAAAAACACAACAATGTAGATAAGACCATATAGCGTAAATTGTTGTTTCATACCAAGCAGTCTGTTTGAGATGTATGTGTATTTTATAAAAGTGCTTGTGAGTTGTTTGTGTTTGAGTATTTGCCTTATTTTATCAGGACCCTTTTCCAGAATTCTTCAGGCCAGAAGAATGATGTCTTTCACTTGGACATTAAAAATGTAGGTGGCATAGGCCAAATCTTGGACTTCATGTACACCTCTCACCTGGACCTTAGCCAGGACAATGTACAAGCTATGTTGGATATTGCACAGTGTCTGCAAGTGCAAAATGTGCTGAACATATGCCACACCTTTTTAAAATCTTCTACAGCTGTAGAGCAAACAGCCAGCATGCCTTGTAATAGTGTATTTTCACTGCAGAATACTTTGACTGCAGATACTAGCTGTGCCAGTGATGGTTACGGAACAAACCTTTTACATGAATGCTCATCTGACACACAGGCTAATAAAGTCTTGACTGACCACCATTCTCAAGCATCGCAGTCTGTTAATCTTCACGCACCCTCAGGTGATGGACAGAAACAACCACAAGACTCCTTAGATGGAAACTGCACAGAACTTCCATTTAAACAACCAAATTACTATTATAAACTACGCAACTTTTACAGTAAACAGTTCTATAAGCAAAATGCTTCCTCTAATCATGAGAGAGGAGCAGAACAATCCTTTTCTTACAACACATCTACAGAAATAAACACAGTGGAGAATAGTTCTTGTACTGTCAACCCCTCCGAGTGTGTTCTGGAGACCTCGGATCATTTACCATCAAACTTTCTGGCTCAGTCCTTGAATGAAGCTGCTCCAGAGCAAGATGCAGAAAGCACACTTGTGCAGCCGACCAAACAGATGAGATTGAAAAAGGCAATACACCTCAAAAAGTTAAATTTTCTAAGATCTCAGAAATCTACAGAGCAGCCACCTGAGCCTAAAAGAGATGACAGTAGAGTAACAGGAGTAATTGAATCTATAAATGAAAGTACCATGGACATGACAAGTATAAGAGTTACTGATGAAAAAGAAGCTGAAGATTTAGCAAATTCTGAGAATTTTGACCAAACTGTTGAAGTTGAAAGATCTCAAGGTCCTTTGGAACAAGAAGGACAATCACAGACTCTTCAGTCACAGAGGCAATATACTTGTGAATTATGTGGGAAGGCTTTCAAACATCCAAGCAATTTGGAGCTCCATAAAAGGTCTCATACAGGTACAGTTATCAATAACTTGGTCTGCAAACCACACATTTCGATTAAAGAGGATGTCTTGCAGTATCAGTTGATTCAGAGATGTTGGTGAAGGGTTTACTTTCAAAAGGTGGCTCTTTCTTTAAAAAATGAATAATCATACAGGAATAAAGTCTGTAAGACAGAGTTTAGCTGAGAGCTATAGTAAAGATTTCTCCTTCATATTTGATTTTAGTGTTCTTTTTCAAAGAACTTTGTGTGATATTTCAACGAAAACTTTATTTTTGTCTTGCATTCAGAAGTGGTGTTTCTAGTCAGTTTCTCAGCTGGCCCAGGAGTTTGAGTCAGATAACAGTGAAAAGTGTAAGTGGATAGAAGATGATACAAGAAGTGTTCTAGATAACCTTGGTTCTCTCTGACCATGTATTCACTGTACAAGTGATTAGGGCTTGGTGGTAATTTCTTTTTAACCTGTAGAAATATGCTCTGTAATAATTTTATCCTTTTTTCCTAGTGTGAGCAACTTACATTGTGTTTACCTGGGGCAAATTGCTCTTGCAGATAAGTAGGCTGCAGAGTGAATGAGAATGTTGAATTAATTTACTTAAGTCTTAAAATTTTAAGTCTTAAAAACTTACAGGTAGTATTATTTTTAAACCTAGCATAGGTTTATTTCTAAGGATCTTTTTATTTTAGTGAAACCAAGACTTAGTCTAACTTTGAATTAACTGATTTGTCTGCAGTTTAACCAGCATGTTGTATTATATTTTTACAACTTTAGATATGTTTTTTTTAAATGTTTAAGAATTACCTTAGCTAGTGACACCATTGATTCCAAGTCCTTAAGACAACATTAGTCCTGATTAAGCTGTTGAATATTTTCTGCCTTTCTTTTTCCCTGTATTAAATATAAAAATGCATCTCTCTGTCTTGTCAAATATCCCTTTGCACTGGTACTTTGAAAGTAAATGTGAATCCCTCTTAGGAGACACTAATTTCTTTGATTAATCAATCCTTACTATTAAGAATTTATTTTTCCATGTTAATAGTAGAAAAATCTGTCCAGAACCTGAAAATAGGAACATTTTGCATTGGCTCCTTTAAGTTTTCACTTGGTACCTTTGACTATTTCTGTATGCTCACATTACTACTTTATTTTTTTTTAATTTGATCTCCTGTGAAAGAGTTGCATATGTCCCTTACCTAGATCCTCTCTTTGCCTTGTATTTTTTTAATCTTTTATCAGATTTGAGCTGACAACAGGTATATTTTAATATCTTAAAAATGTCAGGAAAATAGGTGATCAGATAGAAGATTGAGCATCTAGAGAAGTCCCACCTGAGGGAGAGACTCTGAAGTCAGTAACAAGTAAGTTTGTGCTAGAGAATCTATGTGAAAGAGAGACCCCAACTGTCAGAAACCTGTTAGAATTTTCCCTTCCTTAGACATCTCAATCATTGGAAGAAATCTGGATTTTGTCAGTTCTGGTGCTCATTAAACCACCTGGGCTTTTAGAAATGTGTTGCCTGAGTGACAGACTTCATTACTGTGTGTTTCTGAATCTGTTAAACCATGTTAAACCGTTTTAAACATGAGGTTCAAAGTGTAGTTTACCTCTTCTAATGTATTTAAATTTAAGAGTCAGGGGACTACTGGGTTATAGAAGAGACTATAGACCTTGATACAAACGTTTTACAGATTTTTTTTTTTTTCCTTAGACACAGCATGGACAGCAAATGCTTACAAGAGTAGGAAGTGGAAAAAGAGGAAAAGGGTTGCAGTAGCTTTGCAAGGTTATTTGTGTGTTGCAGTTAATTTCTTTGTTCTTGTTTGAGGTCTATGTGTTCCACACACGTGCTTTCATTCTACTTAAGCTCTAGATGTTGTTTCACATTCCACAATGCTGCCACATAAGAACTAGCTTTATACATTCTGTTAAAAAAAAGTGATCCTAGGCTTGGGTATGTTGTTGTCACTGTGCTTCTCTACTAGTCTGACAATACACTGGATTTAGGAATTCCTTGCTGCTTTTCATACACTTTGTTCTTCCAGTAGTGTTCAAAAAATTCCAGACTTGAATGCTACTTAATATGCCATTAATGGTGTTCTTACAGCTTGTTAGTGTTAAACTGACAAAGTTTAAGAGCATAACTTTAACAAATAATGAGCACGTCAAAAACGGGTGGAAAATTGAGACAGCAATAGGCCTGTTTGCTTGCCCGTTATTTTTGGGTCATGGTAATTTTTTTTCAATATCCAACTAGTGCAAAAAGAGTATTTGGAAAATTACAGTGGATAGTGAGTAGAATGTTAATATAGGAAGCATCTGTAGCTGAAGATACAGGGCACATCTGTATCATTAATATTAGGTACACTGGTAGTTAAGTAATGTAAGTGTATGCTAAAAGACATTTCCATTCATCTGCCCCTTCAGAAAGCATAGCAAATTGCTGGCTAATCAATTTGATTTAAAAACATAAATTTTCTAGAAGTTAAGCAAGAGTGAGCAAGCATTTAAGTATTACGGTGCTTACTGAATGTCTTATAAATCTGGCTTTGCTGGAGAGGTGAAGGAAGCAAGTTACTAGACTGGACCTTTCACAGTGGTAAGCCAGTTTTTAATCTACAAATAACAAGTCTTTCAGCACAAGTGCTGTGGTGGCCTGGTTGTCAAGAAATAGCACATGTGACATTCTCTGAACACTGGGAACCACTAAAGAATTTACAGGCTAACATGGTTACATTGATGAGTTTTTTACGTGAAGGACAGGCATACTATGTTCAACACAAGTCATTGTATTGGGTTATCTAGCTGTTCTAATTGTACTGCTAGTGGATATTTAAAGGAATCTCTAAACAGAGCTTATTGCATTGACTTGAAGATTGATTTTGACTTGACTGAATGTTGTAATTTGTTTTTTATTAGATTGACCTGTCTGAAAAAAAAGGAAGCAAGTGTATCTCTTATACAGTCCTTACCTGCCCAGGAACATCCAGGGTTTTGTGGGGTTTTTGTTTTGAGTTCCACACCACCACCACCACCACCCCCCCACCCCCATGTTTTTTTTTCTCTCTTTTGCTTTTGATTGTTTGGTTTGGGGTTGGGTTTGTTTGGGTTTTTTTCTTTGATGGTTTTTTTTTAAATATTTTCAGAAAACATCTCTCTCCCCAAAAAGAAAAAATCCTACCCCCAACCCTGTGGAAAGAACTCTCAGCAGGATGGAGTACAACAGGAGCAGAGTTATACTGTCATGTATACACTATTGATCCTCAATATTTTCATTCTGAGCTTTGTTTGAGCAAGTTGCTGACATTCCATGCCTTAGTGGGTTCTGCTCCTCACCATTGTGAACTCTTCAGGAACACTGCTTCTCCCTTCATGCCTTTCTTCTCTGGAGCTGACACACCTTCCTTGATCCCATGACTCTGTACTTCATCTCTTCTTGTGGAGTGTTGAACAAGGATGCAACAGAAGATAGAAAACACAAACAGTCCAAGGGTTCAAAAGTCAAATCCCCTGGATGTTTTTTTAAGCATTGTTTTAATTGTAGTTCAGTTACTACCTTGCCCCAGATTTTCTCTATTGCTGTTGATCCATCCGTGGTCTTTGAGAAGATTAGTTGGTTTGTAATTTAATGATGGTCATAGAATCATAGAATAATTTGAATTAGAATGGACCTCTGAAGGTCATACTCTTCTCAAGGCAGGTCAAAATAGATTGGGTTGTTTTGCTCATGACCTTGTGTAGTGTAGTCAAATGTTGGATATCTCTAAGAACAGATATTCCACAATCTCTGCAGGCAACCAGTTCCAGTGATTGAGCACCCTCATGGGGTAAAAAGTTCCTTTTCCTATACCTAATCAGAATTTCTTATCATCTAACTTGTATCGTCACCTCTTGTCCTATCACTATGTACCTTCAAGAACAATCTGGTTGCATCTGTCTTCCCATTGCTTTCGGAGAGCAGTAAGATTTCCTGTTGGCCTTCTCAAGGCTCCAGATATGGTCTCACCAGCAATGGGGAGAGAAGAATGACCTTCAGCTCACTAGCTCCACTCTTACTAACATGCTGTAGGAAGCAATTAGCCTCACTTTCCCTGAGGGGTGCTACACCACTAGGAGTAATTTAGTACTTCTGCTAGAATTCATTCTTGGAATAGGCTACTTGGTATGTCCAGTAGTTTGGCATTTTATACAGGTGCAGAATTGTTCTCCAAAAACTAATCTGATGTTTCTTTTTAAACAAAACTTCTTTGTTTTATCTTTATCATGGGGGGGAAAAAAAACCACCTCCCAACTTCTACATCAGTACAGTTATGAGGCTGCACGCAGCCTACAGCAATAGCTTTGAGAAATTAAAGCCTCCAACTCCCTCTTTCCCCCTCGAGTTATTTCAGAGTAGGTTTCTGTTCAGATAATTAGGAACTTGGGGTTGGTTTGAGGGTTGTTTGTTTCTTTTTTGGTGTAGGTAATTTCTGCAGAAATTGCTACTTGTGTTTTTTATCCTCCATTTCAAATTACCTTTATGCTTTTACACTTGTCAGAAGCCTTCCCAGCTGCCACAGATCATGCTCCCTGTTGGTTTCATTTATGTTTGTGTTGTCAGTACCAGAATTTTCAGTGGTTTGCAAATTTAGAGCCCTAATGAAATGAAGCCTCAATGCTCTTTATAGTTGAGTTATTGGTTTCTTAGGTTTTTTTCTTTAATTGAATAAAAGCTTTCTTGAAACTTGCTGTAAGATTTCCATTGTTCATTAAGTAGAAAAAGTAGATGCAGCCTCAAGTTGTCAGGCTAACTGCTAGATTGCTATCTATGAAGCTACATAACTCTCTGTTTACTCTGTGCTTTAAAATCTAAGTGAATTGCATTTAATCTTCAATCCTGAAATATGTTGAAAGAACACCACCTGTATTTGGCAGCAGGGAAGGAAAGTGAAACCTCAACACCTGGGTATTGTATGTATTGCTCATAACACTTCCAAGGACGAAGGAAGAAAACTGATGTAGAGAATACTTGCTGGAAGAGTTGGCTGCAAATGGCCAGGAGGTGTTCTGTAAAATCAGGAAAACTATGGAGTAGACAGATTTTTGACTCAGCTCCAAGATGAAACACAGTGTAAGATCTCTTGCTTTTTCTTTCTGGAAATATCTGCACTCAAAATCGCAAGGGTTTACACTGATTTTGCTTCCCTGTACCTGTGGGCCAGATTATATATGTCCTTTTAACATAGTTAGGCTTATAGAAAATATCTTTAGAAGTCTGTCTGTCATTGAGTTCAGTGGTATTTGAGCATTGTTACTGTTTTAAAAATTCTAGAAGATTCATAGAGATTTTTATCAACATGTATAAAAACCTGACAACCAAGAGCTAAGCAGGGAAAAAACTTACCTTTATGAAATACTGAAGAGGAGAAAAAGTGATTATAAAAAGGTATTTGTCTTAAACTGACAGCTGACAGAACTGAAGTGCTGTGCAGTCACATTCTGGATTGAGAATCAAGTTATTTTGAAAAGCTAAAGTGGGCAGCACTAGTATTTTACTGAAGCTGCTCATGTGGTTTTGAAGATTCAAGAATTCCGGTTTAATATGTATAAATTCAGAGTTTTGGAGCAAAATACTTGGGTTCATTATGAGATACTCTTATATAGCATGAGAATTTGAAGGCAAATATATACTTGCTGGAAATGAATGGTTATGTGCTGTCAGAGATATATGGTACACATTGAACAGAGAAAACAGAATCCTTCCAACTTAGATGTTCTGCATTCCTCATTCTTTTTAAAAGTGAGCCTTTGTGTGTACAAGTGGAAAAACTGGTGCACTTCCCATAGCTTTTGTTGTTGCAGTACTTCATTACCTATTCTGTTCTGTTCTTCCAGGAGGTTTGGTACCCCTTTCATTTGGTATTCTTTTTATTTTTCCCCCCAAACATTTTCATTCATATCACAACTCTTTTACCTACTTCTTTTGAAAGATAAATTCTGTTTCTGAGCAAATCTGCCTTACAAACTTAATGGAAAATGCTGTACTTCCCCTTGAATTTCCCTTTAAATATATGGTAAGTGTCCCTTGGGGGATTTTTTTGCTCTTACATTACATGTTGTAAAAGGAAGCATACCAATTTAAAGCATTTCTATTCTATTGCAACTATTAGAAGTTCTATGTTCTGTTTCTTCTCCTTTTAGGTGAGAAACCTTTTGAATGTAACATTTGTGGGAAACACTTCTCACAGGTGGGAATATTTTATATTATGGTATTTACATAATGAAATGCATCTGTGTGTTGATTCTAAAACACTTGGGTTTATGCCTACAGATTAGATACTTTTTTCTTCAAAGACTTCACTTTAGGGATAAAATATAAATGTGTCTTATTTGAAAATGACATGTTAAATGTTTTAGATTTTTTTGTTACATTTTGTATCTTTGATTCTGTCTGCTCTCAGTAGATATTATGTATTTTACCTTCAAATGAATACTTAACTATACAGAGCCACAACTACAGTTAAAATACAGAGAACATTCTCAGGCTGTTCTTTTGCCGTATGCTTAGGGATATGTTCCTAATAGCTTTTTTACAGTGTCTGAAAAAAATACAGGTTAGAATTTTATATGATATTGTATTCACAACAGTTACATCTTCCTAAATAGCATAAATTATTAAGCAGATTTTTTTTTTAGTCAGATAATTTTATATCCATATAATTGGGCTCAGTTTCCTTCTGTGAAGAACAGCCATCTGTCTGAAGTGACAAAACTCAGCTAGGATTTAAAAGAATATCTTGTGAAACTCCCTACTTGCATACAGGGCCTCAGCTTTATCTGTCTTAATTTGCCCTCCGATGCTTGCTTCATGTTCTGGGTACAACAGTGAATTTGTATTTCTACAAATTTGGTGCCTAGTTGTCTCATGTTTCCAAAATGTCTATTTCTTTTCTGTTTTCTTGGCTGGAATATGTGTACCTAACTTCAGGAGACTATAGACAGGTGCATATTTTTATCATAAGATTAAATAATAATTATCATTGAATAACTTTGGTCTTTCTTAATGGTCCTGGTTTAAGGATTAGAATTACGTGGTCTTTGTCTACCCACTCACCAGGGCTTGCACTTCTCTTGCTCCAGTTTTGTAGTCCACCAGTGGGACAACTTTCGCCCATGAATCTGATGCAGTTGCATCCTCTGCTCTGTTACTGAATATGAACATAACACTGCATCCAATGAGCAGTAGTTTCACCATGCTTATGAAGCCATTTTGAGTAAAACTGGGTCTGTTTATTCAGCAAAGAAGGTGCATTTTATTTCGTTTTGATGGCTGACCTTCTAGTTAATTAAAAGAAAAAAGTGGGTATTTCTGAATTCCATTAAAAGCACTTGTGGCAAATGGAGGGGTGTTCTGTACCATTTTTGTGGGGAAAGAGGGCATAAAGAAAGCTGTACACACTCAAAGTGTATGGTGGGCACGACAGACTCCTCATGTAACATGCATTGCTTCTCTTTAATTGAAAACAAAGAAACCCCAACAAAAGCAGAAATTTCTGCCTTTTAATTAAACACTTAAACAGCTTCCCTCTCCTTCCCATTACCTCACTTGCCCAAAGGTACAGGTAAATACATATTGATGGACAACACCTACATGTCCAGAATAAGAGCCACAGAATTCAACTTATGTGCTGTTCTTTCTCTGGTCATAAAAAGGAACTTGAATGCTTCTAAGGTGCATGCTTTTGAATCATGCAAGTAAGATTTCACCTACCAGAAAGTAAGATGCAAGGATAATTACTATCTATTTTTTGTTTAAAAGACCACCTCTGATCTTGTCCTTGATCTTCTCAGCTTGCAGGCAGAGAAATAGTAATACTTTTCTTATTTGAGCCTTCTTGTTCTGTGCTTTTGAGACAGTGCAGTTGTTGTGACTAGTGGTGTATCTGTTCCTGCTGAATGAAGCTGATGTGTGTTGGAATGTGAAACAGCAAACAAAGAAAGTAGGGAAAATTGACACAGGAACTCAGAGCCTGGAACAAATAACCATAAATGTCTTCGATTTTTGGAGAAGAAGGTTCCTTTTAAACTTCCAAGCGTGCATCTTCCATTACTACTAGTGCACAGGCTGTTGCTATGTGGGGCTTCTCTGGCTGGTGATCCAGTATATCATGGGGGACCACATGCATTAGTTCCTTCACTTTAAAAGTGTGCCAGTTACAAATGGACTGAGCCTAGCATTTCTCTCTAGTCCACAGATTTGTGAGCAGTGGTATACAACCAGTATCAGTAAGAGGATTTTTCTGAGCACTTGTTAATGCCTGCCTTATGAGGAAGTGACAGGCTTGTAAGAAAGAAAAGGATCTACTTGCTACTCTGTAAAATGTTTTTATTCTGGCAAAAATTCCTTGTATGAGAACTGTTTCAGAATAATTGTTGCACTTCAAATTTACCCTCTATCTTTATCCAGAATAACTTTCAGATGCCTATGATATGATTTGTTTTGTGACGTGGGTAGAGGTAAAGGTTCTGTCTTTCTTGCGTTTCTTTCAAGCGCACCTCTGTGTAGCACGAATTGTTCTATGTTTAGTCTTCTCCTTCCTCAGAAACAGGTGCCTGATGCCTCTCTTTGAATGGGGTTCAGCATTACAGAGTTTGGCCTGAGAGAGCAATGGTTCGATCATACCGTTGTCTGAAAAACTCTACAGGGGTTAAAGAAAGCTCTCTCAGGGCTCAAATGGTGATCCATTTAATATTGTCCTGTGTCTGTCCGTGTGTGCCTTACTTCTGGTATATTATAAACTGATTACAGTGATTGATCATCACAGGTAATTTATTATCTAAAAAAGTCAGAAGAATTTACTGATGGGTCCTATTTTTGTTGTCTTACAGAGGCTGAGGCATCCCCAGTTTTCTTTCATGATTGAAAGAACTTAATGATCCTGTAGTGTACTTAGATAAAACCGGGGCCATTATCCATCAAAGAGAATGGAAGGGTTAAAAACTGACCATGGAAGTGCACACAATTAACAGAACATCTGCAGCTCTTCTGTGCAGCCTAGCTGTATATTGTGCTTTGAGAACTGGACTCTCAGTGGAATAGCCATTCAGAAGCACCAGTGGCTTTAAAAGCATTAAAAAATAAAGAAGTTGGAATGAGGAAGGTGGTTTTGTCTAGTCCTTATCTGTCTTGCCTGCTAGACTAGCATGATTTTTACAGAATTGGAAGAGGAAAGATACGTAATAAAAATTAGTTACCAGTAACCCTGTTTGTTCATTTCAGTACTTCCTGTTTTCTCTTGGTATGAGTAAATATTTATAGGTTTGGAGCCCTTAGCATGCAATATTTTGTGGATTGAAAAATGTTTACCCTGTTCTTTTCTTTTTGACCTCCCAGTAGGTGAATTCTGACATCCTGATGTAACAATATTTTATTTGTATGACATGGAAAATAAGACTAACATGAACCATATCAGTAGAAAGTTTTCTTCTTCACTGCAATTGACGTAGTGTAATTTTCATTTATAATTGGATCTGGTTTCAACTATAGGGCTTTCTTTTTCCTTAGCATTTGATTCCAGGTTGTTGTTGATGTATAATTGCATACATAAGCAGTTTGATCTTGCAATATATGGTAGTCTTTCTTTACTAGATAAGAATGCTTGAGTTCATACATGCTTTTTAGTCTTCTCTGCCTTAGAATTAGAAATAAAAAGCCAGTCTCATAGTTCCCATCATTGTCTTTTAGTCTGTATACGACAACGGGGTAACTGAATTTGAATGTTTAAATTACTGTCCCTTCAGGCAGGTAATCTCCAGACACATTTACGTCGACATTCTGGTGAGAAGCCATATATTTGTGAAATCTGTGGGAAAAGGTGAGTAGAATTGTACATCTTAGTAAAGTTAACATGATAAAACTAAGGGCCAAGAGCTCTATTTTTTTTAAAAGACATTTGCTTTAAATGTGTGCTCATGGGATTAAAGTACATAAATATCTCCAAGTGTCTTGTCACAAGTCTCAATAACAAGGTAAACATGTCACCGCATATACAGTCTGTGGTCTTACTTAATTTCTTGTATATTGGTGTCTTTAGTTAAGGACATACTGTTGTGTGTATTTTGAACAATGTGAGTCGCAATAAATCATGTGGGTTTGTACCTTTCTGTCACTTTTTTTCTTTTTATTTGGTCATAGATTTTTTTGGTTACATTTTGTGGAGATTATGAAGTTTGGGAAACTTGACAAATATAAGCAAAGCATTAAATATTTCTGTCTTTGGCTTACATGGGATAGAAAATATACTAATGTGGGAGTGCATTAAATGCAGAATAAATTAGTAACATTAATGGTGAAAAGGGTTTTTTGTTTGGTTGTGTTTTTTTCCCTACCATAAATCTAATTGGACATCGCCAGATTAAAAAATGTTTTTCTTCAATGCATCCTTTTATCTGTGGATCTTAATCTTTGTTCATAATATCAAGAATTCATTATAGTTGATTTCCTCTAGTTAATCTATATAGGAGAATAAGGGTCTTACAAAGACCGTGATTGGGTTTCCATATTCTGTTACAGATTTGCTGCTTCTGGTGATGTTCAGCGTCATATTATTATTCATTCTGGAGAAAAGCCTCATCTGTGTGATATCTGTGGCAGAGGTATGAAAGAACCAAAGTTTCTGCCTGTGAGGATTTTTGATTGAAATACGAGGAGTCACTTTAATCTCAGTTTCTGTTGTATTTTTCTAGGATTCAGTAACTTCAGTAATTTAAAGGAGCACAAAAAGACCCATACAGCAGATAAAGTATTCACCTGTGATGAATGTGGGAAGTCATTCAACATGCAACGAAAATTAGTAAAGCACAGAATTAGGCATACTGGAGAGAGACCATACAGCTGTTCAGCATGTGGTAAGATTTACTGTGCTTTTTAAATGAGAAGTAAAAGTTCCTGTGTCAGCAGAATAACAATCAAACCAAAATGGTTTTAAATTGAAATACCATGTTGTGAAAGCTTGTCAGAAAATGTCTTGAATGCTTCATAGCCATTCATTTGGTGTATTAAAATCCTTTAGCTGTTGTAAATAAATTCAAAAGTGAATTTCAGTTGAAGAACACAGAAAGGAAATAAGAGGAATTAACACTGTACATATATATGCTGCTACAAAATTGATTTATTTTCAGTATAGTACTTTCTGATGCAAATCTAGGTTTGGCATCACTTGGCTATTGATGGAGTCTTTGGTTTTGGTCTTGGGTTTTTTTCTTCTTGTTTTTTTCCTCCCCAGTTGATTTAACTGCATTCAACCGTAGAGTTTGATAATAACAATGTTTTGCTACTTTGCATCAACATCTGCAATAAAATCAAAACTTGACCAGTGCTTCAGACCAAAGAACACCCACATTCAGAACCTGCCAGATATGTCATACTTCCAGATGGTCTGAAAATGGCTCTTCAGTCAGTGATTCATCCTTGTATAACAGTTCTCAGAAGTTACATTGTCTGTCCTTACCTCATACCTTACTGCACATCCTGCTTACTACTTACTTTTCTGCCCTTAAGCTATTTTGGTATAATTTCACTTATGTTCTGAGGCATCTGCATTGGCAGAGGATGGCTCCTCCAGATAATGTCCAGTTGCAGTATGTTTTATTTGTAGTGTCTTGAGGCACAACAAAAGCTAATATTACCAGAAGGTCTTGCATCAGAAGGAGGAAATCTAGACATGCAGGATATAAAAGTATAAACTGTTGTGTTGCTGTCATTACAATAGGCTTATTTTCATCTTGTCTTGTAGTGGTCTTTGATTATTTTTCATTTTAGCCAGGTCATCTGGTACTGAGATGGCAAAAATTGTGCAAAAAGGGTCTGATCAAGCATTAAGAATTTTGCATTTACATGATGCAAAAACCACACATGTATCATTCCAGTGATTTGTAATCTTACTGTTTAATGGCTTTTCTGAAGAGAAATCCTGGCAGTAGAGTAAAAAGTATGATTCAGAAAATGGAGACTACCATTTTAGTGAGCTTTCAGATGATACAGTTCATTTTAGTTGGTACCTGTTCATACAAAGTAATCTTTAGCCTGCGTAAAATGAGATAAAACCACAAATAGATTATTTTATTAATATATTTATTTTGTATTAAACTGTCCTAAAGAATGTGAGGTGTCTGAATAATGTAGCAGTTCTGGAAATTGATGCTCTCTGGTTCTTGCTCTTCTACACGCTGCCTTACTTCAGCCTCAGTTTTCTTTGCAGTATGGTAATTGAGCTTATTTGAGCCTGTGGTTCTGAAAACAGGCAAAAAGTTGAACATTTTATTGCATTTCAGTATTTACAGCAATAAAAAACTACAGATTTGAGCCATTCTCTGGCTAGAGTATAAAAGAAACAGACTGCTGCATTATGTTAGCTCAGAGTTAACAAAATAGCTAACTTTGTCATCACTTTAAGAATAGTTCCTTAGTAATGAACAAGCCATTACTTTCTGTGATGCAGTTCTTGCTGGAAAAATATATATAGAAGCTTATCAGGGGTACTGTTTTTCCAGACAGACAAATGAAATTGCTTATTTTTAATTTATTTTTTTTTTCCTCCACAAAGATCAACACAAACTGAGAGCACTCACAGCTTTCAGATACTAATGGATTTTCCCATCTCTGGAGAGAAAAACTAAAGCACTGGTAAACACCAGTTAGAAAATCAGATCAAGAAGAAGAAACAAGTATTGTAAAAATAGATGGAACTTGTTTGAACCAGCTCTAGATGAACAAAGTGCCATGATCGGGACATGCCATACTTATCACTTGATATTTTCTCTAATTAAAACATGTTTATGCACTGATGTTAACAGAATCTTAATCTATCACTTCTGTCTTTAGGGAAATGTTTTGCAGGCTCTGGTGACCTGCGTAGACACGTGAGGACTCACACAGGAGAAAAGCCCTATACCTGTGAAACCTGTAACAAGTGCTTCACGCGCTCTGCTGTTCTGCGGCGGCACAAGAAGATGCATTGTAAAGCCACTGACGAGGGTCCAAACGCACTAGATGAATTTACTCAAGGGATTGAAACGTCTGACCTTGACAAGTCTCAAAGCTCCGACTCTTTTGGCCAAGAAATGTCTGTTACATTATTACCAGTGTCTGTTAAATTTCCCATTCGTCCAGCTGCAAATTCAACTGAATTCGATAGTTCTGTGGATTCTTACTGTAAGCTGCGATCGATGATTCCACACCATGACTCAGCAAACCAGCAGAAACTGAATGTGGATTCTGCTAAACTCCCAAAGGCTCAGCCACAGCAAACTCCACCACCACCATATAGTTACACAGATGTAGATGTATCTTCTGCAGAAGAACCCTTACAGTCTGATAATATTCCCATGATTCGTTCCTCTATGGTTAGCTTGGACAGTCATTGTAATGACCCACTAGGCAGTCGAACACCACCTGCTGTGTACAAGAATAATGAAGGACCATTTTTCTCCAGCATGACCCTCTGGGGTTTAGCTATGAAGACGTTGCAGAATGAAAGTGAACTGGAACAATGAGGGCTCAGGTGACTGCGTCAAAACTTCTGAAACTTCTGAGAAGCATTTCATGCTAAAATGATTGTGATTGCACTGCAGCAGTGAGAGACCAGGGCTAGTTTTTAAGCCAGCTGGCTTGGATACTGGTAGAAATCAAGATACACATGCACAAAACCCAGTGTTGGCTGCCTTTACGCTGCTGCTTAGCACAGTTTGGGGGACCTTTGTTCTGTGAGTGCACTGTGTAGCCCATGTGTTGCCACGATTTACTAAAATTTGCTATTTGATAAATTTACCATTTTTTCACCTTATAATGGAGGAAAGGATAGCCCAATGCCTGATTTCTGATATGGGTGCAATTGCAAGCATGGTCATCAGAGCTGTGTAAGGGTGTAGATAGGAAAAGAGGGAAGTACTTAACAAATCCCTAGTGAACCTGAGTTTCAGTAGTAGCTTTCTGGCCGGTAGTGTCGTTGGTTTACATGACTTGAGTATTGTGATATTAAATGTAAATGTTAAATACCTGACAATATTTGTGACAGTGCAAAGTAACTGTATATCTAGAAACTTTATTTTTTTACAATAAAAGCTTTTTTTTTTTTTTAAGTATTTTATAAACTATTTTGCACAGCAGATTATTTGTACAAGGATCATCTGACCAAGATCAGGAAACGTGAATAAAGGGAAGTTGTTTTACATTGTATCTTAATTGCTTAATGTGTTTCATCTTTTTATGAAAGATTTTCAGTAACATAATTCCATCTACTCCAGGTATCTTTACAATGCTAATGGGGATACCACTGCAACAAGAGCTGCACTATAAGTTCAATTAATACACCAGTATATTGCATTTCAATGAATTAGTGTAAAACAATGGTTAATTAATGGAATGAATAGACTGCTGCATGATAGAAACTTTGCCTACAGGCCTTTTTCTGCTTTGGTGCTTTGAATGGTTGTGTTTCATTTTCAGTATAGATCTGTTGCTACATTTCAAACTGCTTGCTACAGTCACTTGGTTTTACTGGCCTAACTTTTTCCATCCATCAACAAGCTTTAGTGTGTTGTCAAGCCTTATGCTAAAACATTCCTTACATACTATAGTTTCTGACATGAAAATATCCTTGTACTGATGTTTTTTCTGAACTTCATTCACAGGCTGGAAAGGCTGAAGTACATACTTCTTATTTTCTATAAGGAGTCTGTAGGCTGAGAAATAGATCTCAGTGTTTTGCATCAGCTAACAAGATCTGGTGCCACCACTGTTTTAATAACACTGCAGTTCCTCTAACAGCCGGAACTGTCTGTTAATTAATATGTAATGTCACATTTTCCTAGTATTAGAAAATATATTGTCACTTCTATCTAACTAAAGTACAAACATTCAAATCTATTATGATTTTGTCTGGTTCTTGGTAGAACAGGAATGTAGACCACGGGTGACTTACAGTCCACTGCTTGCATTCTGTGGAAGTTCAGAGCCTGGTAAATACAGTATTTTTTCATATTTGTAAAGTGCTCATCACTTCCCCCCTCCCTGGAATTCAAGACTAGCTGTTCGGTTTCTTACTGTGTTAACACCATGCGTTACAATTTGTGGCTTCCCTTTCTTTACTTAGCCCCTGTATCTCCCTGTTTTTAACAGCTTTCAACCCGAGTTGAAATGAGAAAAACAGTGGGGCTGGCCAGACCATAACACCCCTTAAAACAAATGGGGCAGAACATTACACTATGTACAAAAGTCTTGAAAGATACAGATTTCTCTCAATCAGTATTTAATGTTAGGAAAAACTTTTTCACTACATTAACAGACCAGTTAAAAAATGCAGATGCAATGGAGAGCAAATGGGGATTTTTATTTTTCACCTTTCTTTTCTTGTAGTTCACATACACTTAGAAAACTCTGAAACACCTGTATTTTTCCAGCCAGTGAAGTCAAAACAAAGAAGCTTGTACAGTGCCTAATTTTAAAAATAGCAGGTAGGCCAGCAGAGCACAGCCCCACATAGGCTTAAGCAGGGAACGCTTTGTATGTTTGAATCCTCGGTTCTTCTCCCATTCATTTTCTTTTACATTATTTATTGGTGAGTACTGCAGACCTTTGTGGAAATCATCCACATGCTATTCAACAAGCTATTCAACAATGTATTATGGTTCTGACCCTGACCATGTGTGCTCATGCTCGCTCTGCTTTCCTTGCACTAGTGCCTAGGGCAGAATGTGGGTATCTGCCAGTCACAAGCTCTGCAGCTTTCCCCTTGTCAGAAACTATTTTTAGATTTATTTACCCCAGTAGAAAGCAGAAATTTGATGCTGTTCCCACAATGATTCCATTGCTTGGAAAGGACAAATCTGCAGTTTGTGGACCTCCTGACTTTTGAGTTGCCTCTTGTTCTGCAATGGTTTTGCTTTCTCTGTTGTGTTTTGGTGGAGGCAGTACAGGATAGGTTTAAAACAGACCACGTCACAAGCTTTGTGCTTCTCTGTTAACAAGAATATTGGAGGTCTGTACACCTTGTGTTGGAGGAATGTGTTATTGCTGAAGACCGTCTTAAGGTGAAGATGGCATCTTGAGATGCTTGTAAGCACGTGGATTAGTTTGCTCAGTATTAAGTGCTTTGTGCCGAGAGGACAGCCATGTTGCACTAAGGATAACTTCTCTTGCTTGGCAGTACTTCTTTCTGTGAGACTGTTTCGCACCAAAACTCAAATGTGCTACCAGACTGTGACTATTGTTTGCAGTTTTGGAGAGTCTGATAAAACACCATGTTGCAAGGTGCCATCTTTGAGAAGGAAGCAGAGAAAACACAGGTGGAAGAAAGCAGTACTGTCTGAGTTTGTGCAGCTGGAACCAGAAAAAGGATGAGTTGCAGCACAGGGCAGGAGCACTAAGAGCTGTTATTTAAGGCTGGCTTGATGGAAAAGCTGAGCAAGAGGGAGAATTTACAAGGTAAGTAGATAGATGGAGTCAGATGGGAGTGAATGAATTTTTATGTATGGACTAAGAAGTGAGAATATCACTGCCTGGCTGCAAGAAGATTTTTTCTTTCCCTTGAGTTTCCAAAATCAAATACATTATGTCACGTCAATTTAGTATTGTTTGAGCTCTTCTTAGTGAGACCTCTGCAGAGAATTCCCTTGAAAGAGGATCTTTTTCTGCTTCCTGATAATTTTCATAGAACTGTAATGAAGAGGATGTTTGAATGGGAATAGCAAACATGGTCCGATAGTCCTAGTGCTGGCACAGTTGGAAAACTGCTGCTACCCCGTGACTTTGAAGAACAGGTGGAAACCGTGACAGAATTCTTGAACCAATGGTATTTCACAGCCAGGCTATTGCTCATAAATACCCATAGCCAGCGTGCTGAGTGAGGGCTATGAATAAGCATCAGTCAATGGCTAGTAGCAGGCACTGCTGAAGTGCCATTATAAATGGTGAGCTGTTAAAAGAAAAAAGTTTTTTGGGAAGAGGATGTTAACCAGCTTGGCACAGTAAAATCGATAATTGTTGTGTATTAGAATAACTGTCCTGCAGTTCAGGGCTGCTGTTGGTTCATCTTGACAACTTGAATCACTTTTGTTTCCAGAAGATGCAGGTGACTGCTCAGGGCTTAGTTGGGGTTCGGTGCAGAGATATCTCTGATACTTGACTCCTGCACAGTATAAAACAATTAAATAAGAGTAGTGGCTAAACTTCGGAAGGCATTACTGAAGGTTTTGGATGATTTAAGTTCATTAATCCTATTCAGAATTTAACCTGACATTTTTAAGTGGGTACGTTTTCTGTGTGTACATAAGAAAATGATACATCATAGAATTAAGTTCAAATAACTCCCTCTCCAAAAAAACTCAACCTAACAAAATCCTCTGCTTGAGACTTACAGTTTAGTTTAGTTGGAACTGAAAATAAAAAGCTGTATAAGGAAGGAGAACTTCATTAGGAAGGACTTGCCACTTCATTACCTGTTGCCATTGAGCACATAGTGTTTTTGTGGTCTGAGACTTTATCTGCATTCTCTCATTCTCTTTTTAAACCTGGCCTACTAGATGTTACGCAGTTTCTTGCATTCAGAGACTGGGCTTTTGAGCAGAGCACTTGTTCTATGTTTCCATGGCTTCTTCAGCAAGTCTAAATAGGCTTAAACTCCTGTTGATAATTTTATAGGTAAGTAATTGCTACACATGAAGTCTTCCCAAAACATCCAAGTGGCATATAAAAGAGAAAGCCAAATTTTAGACAAAATAAGTGTGAAGCAAGTGGAACTGGCCCCATAGGCCATTTGCTTCTGGAATCCACTTTTTTCTTTCCTTTCATTGTCTTCCCCACTGTGGGTAGCTCCATTCATACGTGGACAGCTGCATTCAATTCTTGCTGCTCACTTCATGCCACTTACCCACCCCTCATAATCCAGACCAGAGGTTAACATATTCAAGCTCAGTGAGGAAAACTGTAGAGGTAAACGGAGTCCTACACAGTTGTAAAGTTCTTTAAAAGTCTCCAGGCTCCGGCTTTTGGATTGTGTGCTGTGATTTTGGATATTCAGCTTTCTTGCTAAAGCACTTCTTTGAGAAATAGCGCATAAACATGTCAAGAAACAAGGATGGTGCTGCTTGTGCAGAAGACAATAGAAAGCAAACAACCATGAGCTTTACAGGCAGATTGAAGGGGGAAAATGTGATAGCTTGGAAAATGTGTTCCAATGAAAACTGAACGGCCTTAAATGCAGTTATATTGGCATTAGCATTCAGTATGCTAATGACTTCAAAGTGACCTGGGCTCCACTGTGCTGCAAATAGATTTCTTTGTATTGGTACACACAGGCTTGTGCTTTCTGGTCCATAGCCTTATTCATTAATCCTTACTGACATCTATTATTGAATTTGCCTTCTCTAAACAGTTGGTTTCCACCTCTGTTATTAAATCTCCATCCTAGCAAATAGATAAAAATCACCTTTAAAACACAGCCTAGTGAGGACACAAGCTAGTGACTCGGACATTGTTTTTTCTAAAGACAGTACCT